CCGGGCTGGGGATTCAAACCTGCCACCTCAGGTGTACGTGGCTGGCGCCTTAGCCGCTTGAGCCACAGGCGCCGAGCCCCTTACACAAATTCTTAAAAGGTTACTATTGTATCCACACCGCCCAGAACAGTGAGAGCCATGTGGTATGATCTCAACAGTATTGCATGAATGTAATGTTCCTAGCATTTTTTTTTTGGCAATTTTTGGCCAGGACTGGGTTTGAACCCGCCACCTCCAGTATATGGAGCTGGAGCTCTACTCCTTTGAGCCACAGGCACCACCCATCCTAGCATATTTTTATTTTATTTGGTTTTTTTTTTTTTTTTCAGTTTTGGTCGGGACTGAGTTTGAACCCGCCACCTCTGGCATATGGAGCCAGTGTCCTACTCCTTGAGCCACAGGCACCGCCCCCTAACATATTTTTAATTACTAAGTTATTTGAAAGCATCGCAAGTATTCTCAAATAATTAAATGTACCATTTTAGTCAACTTCACCTTAATTCTTTAGATAAGACTGAACAAGCAAATTCAACTGTATACAAAAGAGATGCTATTTCATACAAATATAAGGCCAAAAGTGTGTGCAGAGGAATGTGGTGGGCAAAAAGAATGAAAGATAAGCATGGGGTGGCAGAAAGGCAAGGCCCATATTTAGCATACAGTAATTATTAAGTTGTAGAGTTTCAAAGATCTATAATTTAGAGATCTACATTCTTAGGAAATATGAAAGCCACACAATAGTTGTACAGTTATCTCAAAAGAGATTACTCACATGCATTTGAGAGTAAATTACACAAAGGATGTTAAAGTGTCTGGATTTGAGGAAATTTAACTTCCATAAATTAATACTCGGAATGTTTTTCTATCCTAGTGTACAGCTTTAATTCATAAGTTCAATGTTTTTACAGTGACCAAGGCCCATTCAGACTCACTACACACATATTTTTATTTTTTTATTAGAGAAAATTTCAAGATTGTACATAAGCATAGTAGTATGTATACATCACCCATCAACCAACCCCCACTAAAGATGTTTAACGTATTAATTGTAACTTGAATACTCCTCAAAATAATTTTGTATTATGAACTTTGAGAAAGTTTTCTCATAATATGTTTCCAAAGCATTGCTGACAAGAAATTGATAACTGGCAATCTCTAACTTAACAAGATGGTGGTGGACACTCAGATGTGGCAGTTATTTCTTCTGAGTAACTTAGGAACACAGTTATTGAGATTCAGACTCTATTTTATCTTCAAGAATGAGTAATATCTAGATTCACTGCTTGAAACTATATCCATTATAAAAACAAATTTATGGATCACTCACCATGGACAGTCACTGTGCTAAGAACATATTACAAAGCCCCTTACTGGCTCAGCTCCCGTAGCACAGTGATTATGGTGCCAGCCACATGCAACAAAGCTGGCAGTTTGAATCTTGCCCGACCCAGCTAAACAACAATAATAACAGCAACCAAAAAATAGTGGGACACTGTGGCGGGCACCTGTAGTCCCAGCTACTTGGGAGGCTGAGGCAAGAGAATCACTTAAGCCCAAGAGTTTGAGGTTGCTGTGA